AACATGTCCATAGGATACTAAACAAATGCAATTAATGTTCTCCTCTGACAAAATATCAATATACCCAATAGAATTAATGAAAGCATTCAAAAGAAAAACAAGAATTATAAAACTCATTCTGTTTTTATCCTCTCACTCTCAAATGACATTCTGCAAGCAGTGAATTCTGTCAATATATTCTGTGCTCATAAAACATGCACTTTTTCCATTTGCCTTTCCATTTCAGGGAAACCTCATATCTGTACCTGAGGCTGCAATCAAGTGCAATTTAGAGGAGCGCTTCTCAGGTGGCTGGCAAACAAAAAAACAATTGCAGAAATCCAGACAAACACAGCATAGATTGTTGTTTATAACACATCAAACGGCACACAGGGCAAACCAGAAAAAGCTAAAGCCACAAATGTCAGATTGGAAATTGGAGTGAAATTCTGAACAGTAAAAAGCAGTACCAGCATCACAAGAGCAAGTCTCTCACAAAAACGTGCCATTATCTATTTAGAAAACCTTCAACTTTTTCAGATAGATTCCACCCTCTAGTCATTGACTCACCACACTTGCTGTGAAAAACTGCAGGTAAACCCAGAAAGGTGTTTTGCAACTTTTCTATCTTGTAGTCATCTTTTTTCTTCAGTCTAAACACTTGAGGAAGTCCACAGTACCAAGAACTATCAACACGAGAGAGCTGGAGCCGAACAGCACTGAACACTCAGTTTGAGTTAACTGCATTTTACAGGAAATAAAGCTCACAGGTGTATTAAATAACCCACATAATAAAATCCACTGCCACCTGACAGTGATTTCAAGACTAGTAACCCGTGTGAGAGAGTGATGAGAAAGGTAAAAGCTGCCCTAAAATATACCAGGAAGATATAAAAGAGAAATGCTTTTCTGTAAACAATGGTGTGTTACACAGCAACCTGAGTAACACTGGTCATCCATCTGAGAAACAAGTGGAATGTTTTCAGAGATGGGCTCCTAAGGTTAGGAAAGACTGTAAAAGAACCTGCCTTCTTTGACCTAAAGAAAAAGACAACATGTGACAGTGTTTTGCAAAGACATCAAGGCTAAACACTGGAGAGGGAGATGAAGTGTCTAAACTAGAGCAAGAGTTTGGCACAAGGACAAAAGGGATTATACCTACTATGAATACATTCAGCCTGAAACTAGAGTGTCCAGCCATCAGAGCCCAGAGTACGGGGTAGCCTCACAGTGGGAATAACATAAGGAAAATAACCTAATTAGTTTTAAGAGGGAGATTGAAAAGTTTAAGAATGTCTCAACAGCAGGGGACTGGATTTGGGAAGTGCCTTTTAGTCCTGTGTTCAAGGAGGAAGACTGATCAGAAAAACAGCCAGAACCTGTATCTGCATAAATTCCCTTTCAAAAGCATTTTTGCAAATCAGTCTGATCAGGTTTAATTTCTCACACCTTTGGTTCACAAACATGATCAGAAATTCATGGAAGTGCCAGGGACCTGTGTGTACCTGTCTATAGGTTAACATCCTGAGCTATAAGTGAGCCTCTGTTTTGTCACTGGTTCACTTAACCACCCAACATGGTTAAGAAGCATAGCAGCAGTAACAGGGCAGGACAAGTAAAGAGGATTTGGGGTGGGTTTGGACACCAGTGCCGGTACCAGCACTCAAAGTAACCCATACTGTAACTGTTGTAAGCCTGGTATCAAACTTGTATTAAACAATCTGTAAGTATTATTTTCTTCTCTGTACTATCCCTTCTGAGAGCCCACTCACTATGGTGCAAATGCAACTTTAAGGCCATTTTTACACAAAAAAAGGGATAAACCAGAAAAAAAGTTTGATTTTATTTTTTTTAATATTAATCTGAAGGATTAGCTTCACCACTGTTGTTTAAATAAAAAACATCATAGAAATTACATAATAAAATATAGGTACAAAGAACATACAGTAATTAACACACTATAATACACTTAAATGTGTGTTCCCAGAACTTCAGAAAAGAGCTGCTATGACATTCAAAGTGAAATCTCCACTGAAGCAATATTGTAGTCTTAAAAGTCATTTTCCCCCAGAACTTTATTCCCAATTAAAGAGGTCTATCATTAACTGCAAGAAGCAGTAAAAGGTCCGGATGAAGAGGAAAATTAGCTGATGATTGTTACTTAGTTTTGCTTTACACACACACATCAATGTGATTGCTACTGTGACTTCAACCTCTTCCATCATCATGTGTGATCATCCACGCACCATTTTTCAAAATGAGGTGTTTCTCTCCTACAACAGCATTTTTATTTCTTTGGCAGTCACCCAAAGGGTATCTCCCCAAACCTACCAGGGCTCTGATTTGGTTGTCTTTTACCCATTACCACCTTTCACTCCCCAGCACATCAGCCTCGGTGAGTTGACCTGAATTCCCTGAGCTCAGCTAAGCACTGTCAGCCCCCAGCCAACACCACGCCAGCTGTGCAGATCCAACCGTGGTTGGCAGATGGGTATGAGATGTCTCTAGACAGGGAGAATCCACAATCCCCACACCACCTGGGCAGATCTTCCAGTGCCTGCAAGCTCAATAGAGAGTTCTTCCAGATGTTGAGGTGAAGCTTCTTGTGTTCCAGTTTATGGCCATTGTTCCTCGTCCTGTCACTGGGCACCACAGAAAAGAGTCTGGCACCTGCCTCTTGACCCCCACCTTTGAGATATTTATATGCATTAATGAGATCCCCTAAGGAGCGGCCCCATTCCCTCAGTCTCTCCTCATAACAGAGCTGTTCCAACCCCCAGTTATCCCCTGGATGTGCGGTTCATTCTCCTCTCCCTGCTGTTGCCCCGACAGACAGCCGCGAGGTGGCCCGGGCCACATGTGGGGCACGCTGGGCACCGAGAGCGGGGCAGCCTGGCACCGGCAGCGGGGCACGCCGGGCACCGGCAATGAGCGGGGCAGTCTGGGCACCGGCAATGAGCGGGGCAGTCTGGGCACCGGGAGTGGGGCACGCCGGGCCCCGAGAGCAGGGCACGCCGGGCACCGGGAGCGGGGCAGTCTGGGCACCGGGAGTGGGGCAGCCTGGCACAGGCAGCGGGGCACGCCGGGCACCATCAATGGGGCAGTCTGGGCACCGGGAGTGGGTCACTCCCAGCCCCTCAGAGCAGTCCGCGGCTCCCCCCGCCGCCATGCCCGCACGGCGGGGGCGGCGCGGGCTGATGACGCCGTCTTGGGCAGCGCGAACATGGCCGCGGTTCGGGCGTTGCGGGGCCCGGAGGCGCTCGCGGGACCCGGCGGGACGCACGGGGCGTTCGCCTCTCGCACGGGGCTGCTGCGGGCGCTGAGGGCTCCTCCAGCCTGCCCGCCCCGGGACGTCTCCTCTCCCGGCTTTACCCGCCTCAGCCGGGCCGTTACCCAGCGCGCTGCCGCCCGTGGGCCCCAGAGCAGCGGTGCCTGCCCGGGGTGCGCCCGGTGTGAAGGAGCCGCCGGTGCCACCGCGCCCTGCGGCGCCTAAGCAGCGGGCAGAGGGGCCAGAGGCGGCCGGGGAGCTGCGCTGGGCCCTGGCAGGTATTGGGCGTGTGTCACACAGCTGCAGTTCCTTAGTAGCCAACAGAGGACCCAGCCGTGCAGGAGGGGTTGGCATTGAAGGGAGCGGGTTATCACAGCAGTTATCAAATGCTGGGCTGCGGGTTAAGAAACCTGAAGTGTGACCCCAAGCACTGTAGGCTGAGTGAGAGAGTGTGAAGCCTTTTTAAAACGCTTCTGTTGAAAAAAGCATAAGGCAGGAGATGGCAGGGGTTTAATTTGGTATAACTGCCAGTTTATCTTGGGCACCAACCTAGGAAAATAGCTAGTAATAAAAGAATGAAAGGCAAATGGCCCTCTTGGTTTGTCCCTCAGGTATGGTCCCTGAGGCTTGCTGATGGGGGAACAGCACTGAGCATCCTGCAGGGAGAAATGAAAGACCATCCCCTATGCCAGCATGGCCTGCCCTCGGCCCAGCTTCATCCTGGCTGGCTGCAGACAGGTTGGGACAGCACCTGGAACAGCCCTCGCCATGGCAAGGGCAGGATCCTGGCAGAAAAACTACTTTATTCCCGCCATCCCCTATGCTATTCAAAGGCAGACCCTCAGTGAAGGTTTTTTGTTTGATTTTTTTTTTTTTTGTTCCCATCTGGAAAAATCTCAAATTTATCCATGAATTTTGATTGCTATGTAAATCTGATATGAATCAAAAGTGACTATATGGAGACAATCTCTGCCTTTCCTTGACACACCTGTCCATGGCTTTTGCAACATTATGGTAGTCAATTTTTTATGATAATAAATATTTTACCACGGCCACATTTATATCCTAAGATCTTCTGGAAGTCTGGGGCTTGATAGAAAATATTCTCAATGTAGTGAGACATTTGCAGGATCTTGTCCTTGCAGACTCTGTTGTTCTGAAACCTGCACTTTGCTTCCCAGAACTGTCCACAGAAGTCTCTGAATCATATTTGCTTCTACACACCTCTGTAAGCTGGGCAAAACCCACTCTGTCAGCCAGGCAGGTTGGACAGACTTGTTTCTTCCTCCTGGATTTTACAACTTGTTTGTTTTGCAAACAAGTCTTCAAAACAAAACAAAACAAAAAACTCACCAGCAGCCTTTTTCTGAACATGTGGGATGCTTCCCTGGATGCCTGTTCATTTCCTGGAGTGAAACTCAGACACACCGGTTCACTGCTGCCCTGAAGTGTGTGGAAGCTTTTTTTTCCTTCTCCCTCCTTTCTTTTCCCTCCTTCCTTGTGTTGATTTGTGGGACCAGAATGACTTTGATTTCAGCAAGTTTGCTGTTTATTCACGTCACAAGTTTGACAGCTTTACACCAAATCAGATTGCTGGGTTTCAGGAGAGCTCTGAGGCGTCACTGGGAGCTCCTTTAGATTAAACTCGCCTCCCCGGTCTCCCCCCTCTCCCCCTCCTTCAGAGCCATTTAAACCTCTCTGGGGCTTTAACAGAAACGTGCTCCCAAGACCTGCATTTCATTCTGCCACTAATATGGTAAGTGCTCTTTGCATTTCTCTCGACCTCGAGGCAGAGGAGGAGAAGCTGGTCTGTCCCTTGGGGGAGTGCAATAGATTTTGTGCCCTCTTAAGATGGGAAAGAAAGAGGGCTCTTCTCTACCTGCCAGTGCAGTCTGCTGCTGTGCCTTCCCATGGGTGGGCAGGCTCCCTGACTGAGACTCCAAGTTCTGCCGTTGCCTTCCTTGCAGAGATTTAGAGTTGCTGCAGATGAGGCTTATTTGGAGGGGACAACCCCAGGCTTTGCGGTCTGGGACTCCTGCAGAACTGCAGGGGCAGAAGAGAGTACGAGCAGCCAGGAGGTGACTCTGCTGGCTCTGTGCTGCTGCTTTAGAGCTGAGTCGAACACCCATGGTGGCAGGAACAAGGACAGCATTGGAACCCTCTTCACCCTAAACCCCCTCAGGACCGTAGCATTTCCCCAGGGTTTGCAGGAAGCCGAGCCGCCTCCCCGGCACAGCGGTGCTCGGAGCCCCGGTGCTGCGGGGGCTGGCGGGGCGGCACTACCCGCGCTCGGCGCACGGAGCGGTGACACCGGGGAACGGGGAGCGGGCACCGGGTCAGGGCTGGCCGCTGCCGCGGGACAGCACCTGAGCACAGCCCGGCCGGACGGCAGTGGGGAGAGCGCTGCCCCGCCGGGGCGCTTCTGGCGGGGCCGGGCCGGCACCGCTTCCCCTCGGGGCCCCCGGCCCCGCCGAGCGCCTCATCGCCTCGGCCCTTCCCTCCGCAGAGCGCCGGCCGGCCGTGCCCGCAGCCGGACTTCGCCGGGGGCTCGGGCTGCGCCTGGCCCTGGTCCGCCCCCGCCGGGGTTTCCAAGGAGACCTGGGCCGCCGTCTGCGCCGCGGAGCCGCCGCACAGCCAGGGCCGGCCGCAGGGTGAGTGAGCGCTCAGCCGCCGCCGGAGCGCCGCGGGCCCCGGCCGCGCTGGGAGCCCCACGGGGCCGGGGTAACCCTGGTCTCGTCCGCAGGCCAGGTCTGCAGCCCGCAGCTCGGTGCCCAGGACGCGGCGTGGCAGGGAGACCAGCTGTCCTCCCAGCTCTACAGAAACAAGCAGGTAAAGGCTCCGCGCCCCCCAGCACGCCCGGGTTCACCCCACGAGGCTCCCGAACTCCCGGATTGCACCTTCTGGGTTGGCTTATGGCATGTCGCCCTGTCACTGGCATGGATGTCAGAAGTGACACAAAACAGTTGTTCCTTGCTGGACGTATTTGTCTCCCCGATGTTGTGCTGTGAAGTTGGACCAACTCTGGTGGGATTCCCTGTCCGTTCCTCCCCTCTTACATCGTATTGCAGCTGCAGTCTTGGCAATAAAGAAAACCAAGGACATGAACAGGGGGGCCTCAGGCTGTGATGATGCTGTTGGCTAAAAGTATGTAGAGTGTGTCCTCCTGATTCCACCAGGTTTAACTTCATGGGAAATGATTGCAGCAGAATTGCCTAATTACATGGAAGATCAACCGTTTTGTTTTGACCAACAGGTTTTCCTTGTTACTTTATTTTCTCTTATATTTCATTTTTTTTTTGTAAATCCCAACAAGAGAAACTCTGAACTGTCGTCAGTGAAGGTACTCCAGTTTGATGACTATGATTAAGTACTTGGAATGATGTTTTGACATAGTCAAGTCAGTGAAAATTCAGATATTATCTTAAAGGTCCCTGGAATCAAACACTAGTTCCAGATGTCAGTGTACTTATTTCTTTGACTTTGCCTCAGTCATTTAAGTCTGTTTTTGACTGAGCCTATGCTCAGAAGATGCCTGTGATCCTTGGCAGAAGGTTCTTTGTCCTCCCAAATAAGTCTCCAGAGCTATGGTCAGGAGCCAAAAATCTATCTGTAAACTCTTAGATTTTCCACGGAAAAGTGTTAGGTGTCTGCCATTCCTGTTCAGCTTTTGAGACCAGGGATTATCTCGATTCTGTATACATACCAGGGCTGGCACAGTAGGGTCCAGAACTGAAGAGATCACTGAGTGCTACTTTATCATAAAGAATGGAAACTGCATCTTCCTTCTGCACTGTACCCCCATAAATTGTTAGCTTGCAACATTTTTTTTTCACCAGGCAGCTCTAAATGGGAAGGAGGGGTGCAAAGGGATGTTTGCTGTGGCTCAAGAGGAGATCCTGAAGCTGCTGTCATGCCCGTGACCATTTCTGGCTGCTCACAGGGCTACTTGTAATTCATTTCTATTATTATTCTGCGGTTGCAGGTTTTTTCAGAGTAATCTTTTCAAACACTCACTTAAAGATTAAAGGAAGTCAAAAGTGAAAACTGAACAGTCATGCCACTTAGATTTATAGAGACAAGAGGCTGGAGGGGGTGGGTTGAGCTCACAAAGCAAACACCCAGATCATCAAATCCAAGCAGCTTGTACCAGAGGGCAATTGCTATTAAGTTACAGAGTCAACATCTATTCATCAATATCTCTATTCCACAGCTTCAAGATACTTTGCTTCAGAAGGAAGAGGAACTTGCTAGGTTACATGAAGAAAATAATAACCTCCGACAATACCTGAATTCTGCCCTGATTAAGTGTTTAGAAGAAAAAGCCAAGGTATTGTGTTCAAACCTGTCAGACAAACGTGTGCAGGAGGAACAGGTTGATTAGGAACATGCCAGTAAAATGTACAGAAAATCTAAGAGTGCAGACAACCTGCAGTGGAACCCACACTCACATTTAAATTCACAAAGGTGACAGTTTGCTCCAGGAATGATATCCTGTTAGGTTCGGACTGTGGAGACAGTGTAGCACCTGAGATAATTAGGTTTAATTTATTAATTAGCTATAAGTAAGATAAGATTATATAGTCAAGGTAAAATAATTTCCTCTAAATGCTTTTTTTCAGTAAAAAGTTCAAATTTCAATATATATATTTTGAATGTTTCTCTTTTGTCAATTATCCTTTTGATAAGGATTTTTTTTTTCAGTTTATTGATTAAAAAGTTGTGTGCGGGTTTTTTTAATGGTGAAATACAAAATTAAACATTTCAGGTTGGATGAAACATTCTGTTAAACTAAGTATGAAGGGTTGTTTTTTTAACATTTGGATTCTTTGCCTCTCACCTAAACAAAAATAAAGAAAATAATTCTTTCTTGTCAGCTTAAAGAAATTTTTTGCTATTCCAACCTTGCCCATAAAACTGAACTGTTGATTATTTGCTCAACTCTGTGGATTGGGCATGAGGTAAAAAAGACTGTAGGACTATGTAGGACATAGGAGACTTTCCTTTTCCATCCTGTTGATGAGTTGATAGCATGATATCCTCCTTCCCATGGCCAGACCTGGCTCCTGGCTGCAGAAAAGGTCTCCTTCACTGGGCACAGCAGGGAGAAATGGCCACCCCCTGTGTCCTGTGGAGAAGGGTCCAGTGTGGAGCAGTGAATTCATGACATGCTGGGGAGCGTCCTTGTTTATTCTTGCCTTCTTTGACCATAGCTGGATGCCTGAAGGGCCGTTGTCCTTGGGATAATGACAACTGAGGTGAAGTGATGAGTGCAGTGCCACTCAGGCTGCTGCTCTGAGCGCTGCCTTGTCACGATCACCCTGTTCCAGCAGGAGTTACCTTTGCATCATCCCTCTTGGTCAGGCTGCCACTGTGCCCCCCATGCCCTGCTCACCTGCAGAGTGCTGCTGGCACAGAGACAGGTGGCAGCTCAGGGCTGGGAATGCCATCAAAGCACAGGTCTTATTGACATGGTCACACTCTTCTCGTTCAGGAACAGGGTTTTGCAGACACTGTAAAGATACAAAATAGTTGGTCATACCCGTATGTTTAAGCAGAGAGTAAAAAAAGTCTCTGTAAGGACAGTGGTAATCAAGTAGTAATCTTGTGCATCTGAAGCCAGAAGCATGTTGCCTTCAGGTATCTAGAAATTCAAATTTTATTCTTCTGTCTCCACCTTGTTGTTCTGGTTTTTTAAATAGAAACTACTGTCTGACCATGGGCAAAAAACCTGTGCTATCCTCAAAAGTACCAAGAGGAGACTGAAGGAGGACCACTGCTTTTTTCCTCAAGAAACTCCTCATGCTTCCAAAGCTAGAAGAAACCTCTTCAATGAATTCACTGTCTGTGAAGAGCAAGCCAGCCCTGCTGTGGACAGCTGGGTCTTGCAGACCTTAGGATTAAAAGATGTGAACACCATTGATGAAGCTTCAGCTAACTACAGTGCCCTGTCTCCAGACCTTGGGAAAGACACATACTGCCTGAGCCCTGGGGGAGCAGCAGACTGTGAGCACAGGGAAGGAGCAGCAGCAGTGTTCAGCTGCAGCCACGAGCCCCCAGGCAGCAGCAGCACCCACCCATGCAGCCAGGATTCTCCCTTCCTTCCTCAGTTTTCTTCAGCACCATGCATCTCCTCACCAGTGCCGAGTGTTTCCTCCCTCCCAGCCTATGAGTTGCCTTATTGGACTGGTGGTTTGTCACCCAACAGAACAGAAGTGGCCTTCACCACGTGCCTGAGTCCCCACCGCAACGTGAGGACGCACAGCTTCCACCAGGGACAGGCCTTTGTGCGCAGGGACAACGATGGCGGCTGGAGGTTCACCTGGGTGCCCAAGCAGCCTGAATGATGCGCCTGACCAAGGGCCAGCCATAGAGGATGGAGGAGTCACACCTCACCTTGTGCATCAGACAGAAAAAGGGACCCCTTTTGGGCTGCTTTAAATGCTACCCTGTCACTAACACACTCCTCATTCCTTCACAGATGTGACTCCAGATTGCACTTGGACAATTTTCTGCCCCAGATGTTCAAACTGGATTCCTTTCTCTTGTGCCTGTATTGAGATAGCTGCTTTTGCTTCTTCCCTGGGGCTTTGTCATCATCTCCTCCTTGTTACTGGTAGTTTCCAGGCTGGAGGGCTTTCACTTTTGATGATCACTTTCACATGCACCAAACAGGAAAGCACTTTGGGAATACACCTCTCTCCCTTTGGAAATAGCACCTATCTCACAGATATCCACAGATAACAAAGGAGGTATAGGTTGGAGGCTGAGGATCAGCAGTTTCTAAGTGATTTATATCTCTCTTGACTACACAGATAGCCTTGGATTTAACAGGCACCCATGGCTGCCTTAGGTGCTGCACAAGGCTGACCTACCTGCAGTTCCATGGTGCTGTCACATTCTTTGATGATGCCTCAAAATAAAAACAGGATTTACTTCTAATGCCTGGAGGCCGCTTAGTTACAAGTGATTCAGCAAGGTCAGGGGATCTTCCTAAGGTGCAATTAAGAGACTGATGTGTTTACTAATATGTTTTAAAGGTATTTTGTCTCTCAATAAAGGGAGTTTACATGTGGGGAGGCAGTAACACTTAGTGGCTGGAGTGGGTCTTTGGGAACCCCAGCCTTCAATGCCAGCTCCTGCCTCTCTGTGTCTGCCAGACTGGGATGGGCTGAGGGTAAGACCAGCATTACTTTGAGAATGCTTTAAAATTCTCTCTAAAGTGAAGGTGCTTTAGCACTGCACAGACTTAACTGCCACTAGTGCTACTAAATGATATGAATATTTGATGATACGAAGTCAATGGCATGAAGGAAGTTCACCAGTAACATTTTCTGTTACCTTTGTTTTCAGTTCTACAGCAGTTTGATGCCTAAGTATCCAAAATAGATTGACTTAGTTATTCTTGCTTTCAGAATGGGGCCACTGACATTGAGGAAGGACTTAAGTAAAAATAGCCAAAACAGAGGGTTGTTTTTTTCAGTGGCTTAGTTTCATATAGAAAACAGGATATTCCTCTATTTTTAGAGGATAAAAATATCTTCTAATAGCCTGTTGTGCCTTAGAATTGCAATATTTGAGACACTCCATCAGGAGCAGTAATGATTTCCCAGAGGACTTCTAAATAAACAAACTGTATTTCTGGGTAGTTACTTTAAACTAACTGTGGCAGACTTCCAGAACAGGCAATATGAAACCATTGATTGTAGGCATTATTTCACTGGATTAAAAAGCCAACCAAACTCAAAAAATACCACAGACCCACACAACAACCACTGCAGAAGAAAACCACGACAAAAACTCACTAAAACCCAAAAAACCCAAACCAAAAAATGCTCATTGAATAAATACAAGTATTTGTTTGAAGAGCTTGCTGTATTCCATAAAATTCTGGTAGATTGATGAAGGCAAGACCAGTGTTTCTGTAGCACCTTTCTGCTTTTCAGTCAAAGCTGAAGAAAAATCCTGTCCTAACAACAACTCATTTTTTTTCTCAATGCAATTTTTTTCTATTATTCTCCCCTTGCCCCACTATATAAGAGAGCATTGAAGAAAACTGGAGTTTTTGTTGATTTGTGTGGTAGTGTAGAAAATGCCTGAGCTTAACCTGAGTTAATGTGATGGGAACCCCTGGTACAGGAGATGTGGAAGATGCACAGCAAACTGGGAATAAGAGAGTGTGGCCAGAGGACTACACCCAACACAGCTGCAGATGCCACATCTCTCACAGCAGCTGTAAAACAGAAGTAGAGAAACATCTGTCTGTGTTTTCTAACACTGTAGGAGGCTATTATGTGTGAATTTCCATGCTATGGAGTCAGCAGCACTAATAAGTGCTTTTGTGCTACCAACAAATCTTAAATCAGGGCTTTTTTCTCTGAAGAGAGATAAAAGCTTTCCATTTGCCTGACGGTTCCTTTCCACATTTTTATATCACTGCATGTGAGAACTTCTCCTGCAGAGAGCCAGAACAAAAGTGTCAGATCTTTGGTACAATCCTGAAGTAGGGTTTCAGTAGGAACAAACTGATGCTTGAGCCTTTGCCAGCCTTTTGTACAGGGGTCATTGACACTTTGTCTCATAGCAAATAAATTATCAATGTGAGGAAGTAATTTACCTGAATGAATCCTCTTCTTTTCCAGTGGGTTCCTGAATTTTACTCTATATGAAGGAGCTGAGTCCTGTTGGAGAGATTTTTTTCTGAACCTGACTTTACTGGAGCTCATTTGGGTAGAGGATCCCATGGTGCTGCTCCAGTCAGCTGATGGATGCTCCTGACCTGCACATGCAGACTTAAAATTGTGGTGTGGGCAACTGCTTGAACACAGTTCTCTGTGGCAATGATGCTGCTGGGCACTGGAGCACAGGGAGCACACTGGAAAGGAAACAGAAAACCCCCCAAAGCATTTTAACAAATAAGAGTGATTTGTTTTACCCTGACACCACCATTTGAAGCAAAATTTCCTGAGTTATATGAAGAATAGAAACAGGGTTTGTTTAACAGCATCCCACAGCAAGCAAATCAGTGCAGTGACCAAGCCATTCCTTTAGATAAATATTGCTCCTATTGCCAAAAGAAAGCCATTGCTCAGCATACCTCACTCTAAACTGCCTGGTTCCTCTGAAAATCCTGCCTTCCTCTCGGTGTAGTAGGTGTGGAAAATGAGGGACAGGCTGAAGACATCTCATGGCAGATTACAGTCACATGGAGGGATGTGAGGACAGTTACTGCCTGGGCTGGTGCTGGGTTGATGTGCTGATTACCCTGCTGTATGCCCATGATTTCCTTGGGCCTGGAAGCACTGTGGCTGCATTAGCATGGTGCAGTTCTTTGGCCTGCAAAGATGTGGGGAAAAAGCTTCTGCTGGTACAAAGCCTAGATGGGTCTTTGAAATAGGTGTTCAGTCTTGTTTTGTGCTCCATCCTCCCTGTTTGTCCTTTTGTATCCATTCCCAGTGGGGGAAAGAGGTTCAAAGCCACCCTGCTGCCCATGGAAAGCAAAAAACGGAAACAAAATCCAGTTATTCACACTGCCATCACAACGAGGTAGCCAGGAGATAGCAGAGACAAGTTTCAGCTTGGTGCTGTATTTCTAATTTCAAAAGAACAGGCAGCTGGAAACGAGAGCCAGAAGGCAAAAGTTCTGGGTTCTGTTGCTGCCTCTGATGTCACAGTTGGTTTTTGAGCTTTGGATTCTATGGAATTCACCACTGGACCAGTTCATAGCTCTTTAACAAGAAAACACAACTCTTGCTGCTGCAAACTCCACGAAGTTCCCTCTTGCCAAGGATCATAGCAGGCCCATAAAACTCCAGGTTGGGGAGCTATGACTTGAATGGCCATGGGGCCCTGGGTGGTTCTTTGAGCAGCAGTGAACTCTCTTGTCTGTAAATATTCATCTTGTATTAATATAATTAGTTTTATTTTTTTATTTGAAGTTAGCATTATTATGTGAATGTAATGTGCAGCCGCATAGTTTAAAATAATCTGTTTCTAGAAAGGTACACTAACAGAAATGGAAGTTAATTTAACGCTTAATATGGTGATGCTCCTGATTTTTGTGATTTAAAATGGGCATGATGATATGTAAATGTCAATTTTACCACTGTCACTAAGTTATGTCTAATAAAACTTAACATCCAAATGATGCAATTCTTTCTGCCCACTTTAGCAGCCATTAAACCATGCAGCTGTTGTTCACACAGCACAGCATCCACCTGGTACCTACATATCTCCCCAGAGCACTGAAAGGCACCTTTATTTCCTGCACTCACAAGTGTCCACACCAGGACATGCCATGTTTTATGGTACCACATCCAGCTGTATTGACACCACAGGTGTGCTCCTTCCAGCCTGGGCTTGCACAGCATACTGCAGTGGTCCATTATTGCTTTGAGTCAGGAATAGATGCCATGCTACCAAACAGCAAGGACAGAGGGAAATATTGTGCTTTTAGTCTGTTGTTTTTGCAGCCTCTGGCTCTCTCCCTTACACCTTCTCGGGCAGCTGAGCATCCTGATCCAGGACAACCTGATTCATTATAGTACTCTCACTACTCCCGATTTTGACTCTGAAAGGATGAATTGCAAAATGGCACTGAGGTGTCACATAAAGAGACTGGAGGTGAGATAGAAAAGCCTGATTAAAAAATTCAAACCTTTACTTAGCTCTACATGACAACAAAGAAAAGCTGTGTTAGTTATTAACTTTCCCTTCTGTACATGAGCTGGTTTATTGGTAACCATGCACCAGCTGGGACCAGAGAGATTTTTCATTGGAATGGAGATGGCTTATTGCTTATGAAAAGACACAAAGTGAACCTTCCTTAATCTCTTTTGCCCTCATCTTGAAGCCATACTAAGTCTATGAGATGATTCATAAACACTCTGGCCTGGTGCCGGGTAGCTGACACCCTGCCATAAAGAGAGAGCAGTCTATAAATAATTTGAGGAATGAGCTGTGATTCACCTAAAATGCCATCTCTTCAGTCATTCTTCTATTTCATTAGTTGTGCATCACTGAGTTATTTTAAGGCTGAATGCTTAAGCACTGTGCAGCCCAAGGAAATCATTATAATAATAGTTCACAAGGAACAGATTATAAAAATCAGTATGAGTATGAAGAGTTGGGAGGTCTGAGGGCTCTATTTTCCTTAATTTATTTTTAAAAATTTCACTCAAAGGGTGGCTGCAGTACCGGTATGGGTAGCTGAAACTCCCAACAACTGCTGCCTCCAAAGCTGTTACTAGTCAAAGACCACTCTAAATATTCATTTTCTAAACAATGTTTGCACATGTAACATCTTCCACCGTGACATTATTCTCCGTTAGTAATCACAAAACACTGGGTCAGGATCTGGGAGCTTTGTGATGCTTTCAGGAGCACAAACAACGTAACCAAAGCCAGATTCCAGCTGTGCAGAATGGGGACCTGACTGCCCAATAGAGAGCGCAGATGTGCAGTGTCCCAGATGTGCT